GGGCGGCGGCCGACGCGGACCATGCTCAGTCTGCCGGGCCGCGAGCGGCACGCGCGCATGAAGCTGAAGAAGTACCGCAACTCGCGTCTCGCCCGCAACGGACGTCTCGAGCATTTTGGCTACTGCTCGTCGAGCGGTGAGAGCACTGCGAGGGCGGCAGCCACACGCGCGCTGCGCTCGCTCGAGTGTCGGGGATTGTTGTGCGTGGGCGAAGTGGTATGAGTGCAGGCGTGTGCATGTGCGTGTGTGTGTGTGTGCGTCCGTGTGTGTGTGTGCGTGCGTGTGTGCATACGCGCGTGTATATGTGCGTACGTGTCTGCGTGGGTGACACAACTAGTCCGTTTCACTTTACCTGACTGTTTGTCCCTTTGTGTGCTGCAATGTGTAAACTAAATGCATTTCGTGTTGTCACTTACCATACTTCTCGCTTAATTTGCTCATGATAGGTGCACACGGGCTCTGTAAACGTGAAAACTTTCAAAATCAATGTTTTTAAAAAACAGATGAGAAACGGATCTTGACATTGATTACTCGCTTTATTTGCGGTTCCCAGCCCATGCACATCACTGCTGCGTCTCAAAGAGGAGGTACGCGGGTGATAAACTTCTTGTACGCTTAACTGGACTTTGCTGTTTGAAATCGCGCCGAGCTCTTTGTGGAGGTTACCGTAGCCTCCATTATTTGAAACACGTCTCCAGAAAGAAAATAATTTGGAGCACGTTTTCAAAAACAGATGTTTGGAAAGCTTCTGTTCCTAGAAACGTGCTCGAGCGGATTTTACGCACATATCTTGTTTGCATTTTGCACAAATGTCTGATGTGCGAATTGTCTGGTGAAGTTTTACCTCTTGACTTGAAACGTCAGTGTTTTTGTCTTCTAAGCGTATATCAAAGGTCAAAGGTTATACATTGCCTCTTGCTTTGAAACGTAAGTGTTTTTGTCTTCTAAGCATATATCAAAGGTCATATATTACCTCTTGATTTGAAACGTCAGTTTTTTGTCTTATAAGCATATATCAAAGGCTGATGTAAGGGGTCCATTCATTCACTGATGAGACAGTCATCATTTCATAGTTTCCCGCATACGCACGAGGTGCTGCGACTGCACCCATCGGACTCCACCCAGTGCACCGCCCAATAATAGGCCCATATCTATACCTAGTGTGCTCTCTACGATCTTAGAAAAGGTAGCTTGCACACAGCTAACGGAGTATTTGAATGCGACAGCGCTGCTGCATCCATCCCAGTATGTCTATAGGCCACGCCACTCGACCGAGGACGCTGTGCACGCCGCAGCCGAACGCCTGGTCACCAACGCTGACGGCGGTCTGATATCGTCGGTAACGACAATCGATTTGTCAGAGGCGTTCGATAGGGTCGATCACGACGTCCTCCTCACCAAACTGCCTTGGTATGGCATTACCGATGTGGGATGGTTCAGGAGTTATTTAAGTGGCCGAGTACAGATGGTGCGTGGAGGACGGCTCACCCTTCTCATTTCGTGAGGTGTATCCCAAGGCTCGATCATTGGTCCAATTTTGTTCATTTTGCTTACCAACAATTTGTATGAGTACTTGACTCATGGCCGCATCATCTCCTACGCTGACGGCACTACGCACGTCGCCCCCCCCCCCCCCCCCCCCCCACCCTTGACGGACCGGGTCTCGCCGACCTCAAAACCAGACTGAAACTTACTATGCGTGAGCTTAAGAGATGGTTCAGTCCCATTTTTCTACAAGTGAACAAAACAAAAAATGCTTCTATGCTCGTTGGGTCAAGGCAAAATCTAAAAAAGTCAGCTGACTTTCACTTTGAAGTAAACAGTTCGACTATGCATGCCTCAAGTGGCACTCAATTTCTTGGCGTCATAGTTGTCTTCCTTTGGCCTGGCAAAGGGCGCCAATGCCTCGATAGCCGTGAAAAAATGCAATGCCATTTTCAATTCTCTGGACAAATTCCGTCATTACCTTACTTCTGATCTTCTCAACATCATCATCCAGGCGTATGTGTTCCCTTATATCATGTGCCACCTGTGCGTGTGGGGTGGGGCGACCAAGAGCCAATTACACAAAATTCAAAAGCAATCAACTTTGCTGCAAGAATAATTACCGGCTCCAAAAAGCGTCATCGTGCAACTCCTGCCCTAAATTCCCTTGAATGGCCGAGGATCGATGTCATGGCGGCGCGCCGCGACGTGATCAGAGTGTATTATGGCGCTGAAGGAGGAGGCGCGCCTCACGAGGTCCGCGCGCTTTTTGTGCCACGCGCCGCCGTTTCCACCCGTAAAACGCGCCTCAAAAAGAGGTGGTCTGTTCCTGCGTGGACACCGATTGAATGCCACGCAGACGGCGTTTTCGCATCGAGCCGCAGCTGCCTGGAAACGCCTACCATCCTACGTGTGAAGCCACAACATTGAGCACGTTTAAGACCGTCACATGTGATGTAATTTTCTTTACCACTGACCTTTGACCGCTGCCAATAGTCCATTGATATATCTGTTTCAGCTCTTTGACCATTGTTCGTATAATTTGATTTCACCATTGCCCATATCATTTTATTGTATACCTGCTGTGCCCACCTATTTTCACTGCACATATATGCAACATGAAAATGGCCTTGATCTGAGACCATAACAGCCACCATGCAGATGGTTTTCAATATGATGATACTGATGCCCACCTGATCTTCTCCACTGTGCGTGGTGGGCTTCGCATAGGCTGCTCCGCTTGCTCCCCGCAGCTTGCCAGAGGGAGGAGCTCGCTCTCCACCGCCAATATCCCGCCGTAGGGCGCCTATTAATGGAACTCTGACGTACCGTGGACCAAGCACCGTCCGCCATGCGCCTTCCACGCCACCGCGATGGCGTGAAAGCGTGACGCCCTTGTGACCGGGGTGGCGTTGATGTATTTCCAGCATCGCACAATGCTGCTGGCCTAATATTTGCTCGCTGCTGGACGCGGGAGGGCCTTCAGAGGACGCTGCTTGGGGCTTCTGCCTGTGAGGGTGGCATTGCCGCCTATGATGTTGTGGGAGCCAATGGTTCCCGGGGTGTCCCTTCGTCAACTGCCCAGCAACGGCTGATTGGGCCTTGAGTGTCCATGCTCGCCAAATACACGCATACCAAGTGCTAATGACCTACCTAAACAACGCCCGCGGCGGAATGCAGCGAGCGTTTTGCTGTAAGGCGTTCAGAAGCCGCTGTTCATCCGTCCTGCAGCCCGTACTTGTCGTTCAGAATGTTGTGCTCTCCGTCACACGAGGGCTCCACCGCTGAGCTGGCGCGGTGGCGCCGGCGTGCAGCGCCGCGTCAGGCCGGCGCCGGCGTGCAGCGCCGCGTCAGGCCGGCGCCAGCGTGCAGCGCCGCGTCAGGCCGGCGCCAGCTTCAATCGCAACCATGTCGTCGCTGGCTCGTTAAGAGCTGCCGCTTCCGCCCCAGCTATCGACACCGCACGCGATCGCCGGGTGCCGCTCTGGCGGTGGGTGCCCGGCTCAGAAATGGACCAGGTGCGGACCGAATGGCAGTTCTGCTGGCGCCCCGTGAGCAGCGACGGCCATGGGAGAAACCACGGGAGGAGGGGCATGTCCCCTCTAATTTTTACGAAGCGCGATTTTGTCTCCTCCAATGTTGTCCACAGAGTGCACGTTTTTAATTGTTCTGCATTCAAAATGCATTTTTCAAGTCGTTCCCTCCAGATTTCAGTTCAACCTCCCCCTCCAACTCTGATTTACCCCTTCTCCAATCTCAGAGACGTGGTTACACACACTGTGGCGGCAATAATTCAGAGAAGGGGAAAACAGTGGCGTAGCCAAGGGGCTTTTGGGACCATGCCCTCCCTCCTCCTAGAAGTAGAAGCAGAAGTAACAGGTAGAGAAGACTTCTTAGCCTGCCGGGGCCCAATGGCAGCTTAAACGGTTGGCGAAACGGCCGGTTAAGCGGCACTTGTGCCAGCCTAAGACGCCGTATGGTGACGAAAACATACAAAAGTAGTCCCTCGGGACATCTATATGGGATCTCAAGCATAAAAGGTTCTCCAGATCCAAGAAAGGAACTCTTTTGCGACAAAATAGGTCCCCGTTGGTGAAACGTCACCCACAACTGAAAGTAAACGCCTAAGCCCGATTTGGCCCCTCCTGGGCGAACTCCTGGTTACGCCGCTGAGCAAGAGGACCTGCGTATAATGTCCGAATGTGACAGGTAATATGAACGTAAATGGGTATGACATGTTCCACATTTTACAGGTTCGCCGGGAAAGCCAGGAAAGGTTTTCTGACTGCTACACACGTTTCTAAGCGCGTCATGGATCTTAGATAGATAAATGGATAGATATTACATCGAAACATGTGAATATTACATGTGTGGTATTCGCGTCAGTTATTCATTGCGACACTACAGTTGTTTACTCTGACGGACGTACGCTGCAAATAAAACTGCTCTTATGCTACAAGGGCAGCCATATCATATTCCAGTGCTCTACCAACCGAACAAGTGAATATAAAGTGGCCTGGAAAGCTAACGCATATGTGCTAATGCCTCATGCTAATGTTCTAACTCAATGCTAATTTCAGTCTTACCTAATCATCTGCGACAGAGCCACGTGCTAATCCAACCTGATTCGTCACTGCAGCCACGCCGTTGTCGTCCAAATATAGTACTCGGCCATAAACTATGGCACGGTTTTCAGCGCTACCAACTTGGTATACTATGGAGACTTACCCCGCCGGCCCCTAAACATTAGCCAATTGTATACACAAAAAACAACGAAATCCTGCGGTTGGGTAAATACAGATCCTTACGTAAATCCACACGCATTCTGGGTAAACATGGGCAGCTGAGTCGTCGGTTTTTGTGAAGCTGTATGTTTGATGCTACCATTTGTGATTTGAGCAGTATTTTGATATATCAATGAGTATGCATGGTGCCTAGGAACAGTTGTGACAAGCATGCTGACCATTGACTACACTACCATTGATCATCATGTAATGCCAAGGTAAAAATTTCAGCTTACTGCAAACGGGACGCGAAGAGACACACTTGGAAGTACAGAAGCACGATTTGGGAGCAGAAGGCTGACGGGCCGCTGAGTACTTATGCGGCATGCTTGAGACCGATGTTTTGCCGCCTCACGCGGTCACCAACCATATTATTCACTATGCACCCACGTTATTCACCGCGCTGTCACCGCACATCCTCCTGTTGGTGCACATCGCATTGGTGCTCGAACGCGCTCACAGCTGGGGTGTCCTCTGTCTGTCGGGTTTATTACGCACTTGCAGCGATGCATCTCGCGCGCACAGCACTGCACCAACGTCCTGCGGGCATCGCCGAACGTCGCCTTTCCTTCGAGACCCACTCTGGTGGGACTGCGAACTGTATCCCGAGGCAAACTTCAGAGAGACCTTCGTTGGAAAACACTATTACAGTAAACGGTGTTTTATCGTTTTTATGTTGCGCGTCTGGTTTAAATCACGCAAAACATTGAGCAATCAGGAATCCGAGCCACTAAAATGCAGCTGAAATTGGACAGGCTCAGATCCAGACCTGAAGGCCACAAAAACAAGATTAGTTCAGAACCCCGCTGTTTCTGTGATGGAGCCCCGGATCGAAGACATTTCTGTAGCTGTCATGATGTTTTGCACCAGTTTTAGAATAAAAAACTTTTATTGTGAGCCTGAGCCTAGATAAAACACTAAAAGTGGTTAAGGCGGTCATGAATAGCATCGATGCGCAAAAAAGGGACAGATCTTTCGTGATGCCAATGATAGTTCTGCTGCTGTGCTTTTGATTGAAGAAGCCTCTCTCAGGACTGTCTGTTGCGCATACTGGCATGGTAAACCTGTGATTGGTCGGCACGACATGATTCAAAGTACCAAAAACCAATCAAGCGCGAGCGCTTATATTTGCAACCACGGTTACTTTGCAACCGCCTGTTAACAACTCTAGCAGCAGCAGTGGACTCGTGGCGCTCCAAGCATCTCGAGGCGACTGGGCGACTCTAAACACGCTGTGGGCGGATCAACGCTGTGTGTATCGAGCTATCGTGTTGAGTTTGCCTGTTTTGATATCTGCGTTTCGACGCATGTGCAATGAGCTGAAAACATCGCGCGCTTAGATTTAACTAAGCCTTGCGTCCCGTGTGAGAGCATTGAACGACTCTTTTTGGCATGGAACGTCGGCAATGAGTGGTGACATGTGCTGGGAAGATTTCGCTCATCAGTCTAAGCAGTGCGATACATTCTCCTCTCGAAGTGCGTTCTTCGTGTCACCGCAGCAGAAAAGTTCGTAAGCTGGACAGGCCTCTGATTTACATGCTTTATATTGCGTTATATTCTGCGGCAAAGCCGACAATGTCATGTGAATGGTGCAATATGCTACTGTGCTTGGCTGTGCGGCTCATGATTTGGCCTAATCATAATATGGCGGTAATCATGATGCGGCCTAATACTTCGTTGTTGGGATGAGCTGCGTGGTTGGACCATCAGGCGTCAACTTATCGCAAAGTTAGCAATATGCTTGCCAATATACCGTATTCAGCTCACTCATGTTAGGCCAGACTCTTCCCATCGTGTTTCAGCACCCCTCCAGGTCTCAGTTTCTCACTACATTTCATTGTCTCGGCACCGCACTATGTCCAATGTCCCTCACCACCGTGTTGCAGCACCGCGCCATATTCGGCGACGCAGCACGTTGAAGCATACCGCAACGCTTTGGCAGCCTGCCAAATTCCAGCTTCTTATCGTGTTTCAGCGCTTAACCGCGCTTGGTTGTCTCAACGGGTATTCGTGCATTGCGTTCAGCTGTCAAGTGTGTTTCCGCTTCTCTACCTCACCACATTCGAGCGCCGCACCGCAACATCAGCTCCCCTGCGTTTCAACGCCTCGCCATGTTTCAGCGCACACCAACTTTGACGGCGAGGATGAGGCTGTGCCGACGGCGCCACCCCTGGACGTGCTGGACTCGGTGCCCGGCTACGAGGCGCTCGGGTTCGATGCCGGTAAGCCGCTCCTGTTGGCCGCGGGCATCAGCGGGCACTTCCTCACCCGAGTAGACATCAGCCACACTTGCGCCAGTCGCCCAAGACATTTGTGTACTGCAAGTCGCTTGGACTAACCTCGCTCCTCGATGGAGCTCCAGACGTATGGTTGCCTTTGGCTGCCGGTTGATGCGGTGGGCTTAAAGACGCAAAGATGCATAGCTCGGCATGCCACTTGATGACATCAGGCGGTCCACCGTCTTTCCACACCAACCTGTTCAACCAACGACGGACCAGGTATACGGAAGCGTCGTACAGTCCGTGCAATGTTTTGTTACATGCCTCTGACAGCGACCACCGTTACATTTACAGTCGCTTTGGTCAGACCTCCAAATAAATTTTAAAAAAAGCGTCTCACGCTATTGCAATATTTGGTGACGATGTCAACTTTTGGATACTCTTTAAATGCATTGGTGCATGCCACATTTTTCCGAACCGTGAAAATACGTTTTTTATTGGAGGTATATCCGCTAAGATTTCTGCTTCACTAAACATTTACGCACCGATTATTGATGTGCTTTGTGCGGTTCTTCGATGTACCTGACAGCATAATACCTACTGATGTGCGCTCATCTCTTCTCGGGCAGTCGCTGCTTCGCAATGTTTTACGAACGCTGTTTTCCAGGTATCACATGGAATATACGAGGTATTGATTATATGTATTAACACTCCCACTAGTTTATTCGTATCATGTTTCACCCGTCCGCATGACTCTGAGCCCAGCAGGTGATTTTGTTCTCGTATCCACGTTGTCTCATGACACTCTCGTTACCACACCCACACTACACAATCCTTGGTCTCTCGGCGGTGCTCCGGCAGTAAACTGCTCGCACAACTTGCATCTCAACGCACATCTGCGTTTTCGAATTTTGCGTAGAAAATGTTGCGTTCATCGTTTCCCTGGTGCGTCCACGCAAGGTCATATCGATATGTCTGCGACTGTTTTGTTCAAGATCACCATTTCTGCGAGACTTCATCCCCCCCCCCAATTAGACGCCTCTGACCGGCACTGACCTAGGCTGGCGGCTGCCCCCGCGCCCGACCCCCGACCCCGGCTCTGACCTTTGACTCGGCGCGCAGTGTGCGTGCCGCCGCCGCCGCCGGAGGCGACATGGGCTGAGCCGAGCACCGCGCCGCCACGCGACCCCGTGCACGTGGGCGCCGAGATCAGCGAGCAGCAGGCGCGCGCCGCCCTCCTCTGTCACGTGACCGACCACTGCTGCTACGGCCGGGCGGCCGCCCGCCACATGAGCATGACCAAAATCAACTACACCTCCGCCCACCACGTGAGACATGGCCTCCTTATCACCAGCCGTTGGAAAACCGCCGCATGCAGACTCGGACGTGGATAAGTGTGCTCCGTGGCGCGTGCATGAAACCGGGCGGTCGATGTTTGGAAACGATAAATGCATCAGTGATGAACCTTCTAAGCGTACTGATGGGTTCCGGTCTGCCTCATTAATTTATAAGCGCAGAGCGCTGGTGAGCGTTGTGGTCTACAGCGGTACAGCAAACGGGAAGGCAGCGATTAATTGGTGCAGCTCTGGCGCTTGGCATGACGCTGAGTAGAGGAAGACCTTTTTTCGAACAATTTGGAGGGACGTTTAACCATTTTCCCCATTTAGATAAGACAGTAACAATAGCCTTATTCCTCGGATAAAGACCAGGAGAATATATAAATGAAATGGAGCCAATTCCTGGCTTTCGCCGAGGAATAAGCCTATTACTACTGTCTTATCTCTGTGAATGGTGTACCTCTCAAACGCATCTAACAACTTACATAATTTTCCCTGTCCAGCCCACACATTCGCAGCTTATCTAGCAAACTAAACACCGACTGCCTTTATCATGTCGGATCACCTAGATACCCCTAAATGTGATCATTCTCAGGGTGGTATTCAAGGGGTTCATAGAATGCACATGCCCCGCTATCAAATTTTTACATGCATTCATTATTATGCACTCTTACAGACACAGACAATTAGATGGAGCTAGATCCATACAAATAAAAATACTGACATGCCATGTGTGATTGGCGCATATGTCATGTTTGTTTACGCCCTGCCACAAATTTAGCGTGCTTGTGGTGCGCTGAAGTGTTTTTGGTAAATGCGTCTTAGTTTTTATCGTTTCTCGCGAAAACCTACGTACGTCCCACGGTTACGTGACCTCCGATTTGTGAAGGTGCTGGGGATCTACGAGTTTGAATATTAGCGTAGAGAAAATGCGCATGTCCTTGGATTTTACATCGACTGTTCACGTGTAGTCGCGTTCTTTCTCTGGTACGAGAAGAATGTCTCGCCTGGTGTTTTCTCGGTTTACCCAGTTTGTAACTTAGCTGTGTACGTCTGAAACAGATTGCATTTCTCTCATGTTGTTGATGCACCTGTGGTGACTAATCTGGCATCTTTAAATTACGCATATGTCCGAGCTCACTTTGGTTTTATCACTTAATAGAAATTATAATCCATCGAACTGCCTTGCCCACGTCTCTACAGTTTCCTGGAATGTGCTCACAAGTAATGTTATATTCAACACACCACCACGCCGTCAGTACGGTTTAAATCCTGTTGTCTTGCCACTCTGCGCCATTAAGTTTATAAGCCATGCACAAAGGTGTGCTAGCGCGCTGGCGTTCCGCCTTTTTCATATTTGTCCTATCATATGTTTATTACGACGTGCGTACGCCATAAGCGTTTCTTCTGTGGCTTTTCTGCCGTCGTAACGAGGCCAGTGGTAATCATGAGCAGGACACGAGTCCGGCTGGTCCGCTCTGAAGTGCCCCACGTAGCCGGCCGCGCCGGTCACCCGAGCGTGGCGCCTTTCAGTACGAGCTGCAGACGTTCACGGAGAAGCGGGAGACGTCGTGGACGTTCGTGCCTTACTCTGGCGGGGAGGTGGACGGCCCGGGCAGCGGAGTGGCGCCCGAGCCGTGGAGCGTGCCCGCCGAGCCAGGTCAGAGCGCGCCCTCAGGAGCCAGGTCAGGGCAGGTTAAGGCGCATGGGAAGCCAGGTCAGACGAGGTCAGAACAGCGTGAAGCTAAATCAAGGCAGGTCGGAACCTGAAAGGAGGACTTTGATGAAATGGCGTGCGTTTGAATATAAATGTTTCCAGTTTGGAAGGTGAAACCTGGTTCCAAAGCTAACCGGGTGGGACATTCGCGGCCTCTCCTTTTATAAGGTTATGTTTACTGCTGGGTCCTAGCTCACTTTGTTGCTGACAGTGTGACTGTTTCAGGCTCCACTCCGCTCCCGCAGTGTGTGCCCCGTTACTGCAACTGCCCTGGGGTCCATGCCCGTTACGTGTTAGAATGACCGATGTCCGCCACGAGGCCGTCATTTCTGCTGACTCTTACTTTTTGAGACCATTTCCTTACAACTCCCCAAGGTAGCAATGCCTTTAGCAATACCGTCCGTTGGCAATCCAGAACACTGGCGACTGCACGTCCCGACAACGCACCACGCGATGTCCGGTGAGCCGACACTTCTGACGTTTCAGGCCAGTTGTTCCATGACGAGGTGAAGGTGGTGGAGGTTCCGCACACGGCCTCGGCCAAGGACTGTCACCGCTGCAAGGGCCAGGGCAGTCTGAGCTGCGCCGAGTGCCACGGCAAAGGATGGGTACGAGACAGCACGACCGCCTGCCGACGTCGGCACCGATGATGGCGCGTGCCGGGTGGTCGAACAGGGTCAACGGTCAATCGACGACCTACTTGGTCGTCGATTCTGTCACCGTCAGCAGATTGAGCATGTCCACGATCTCGGTCTGCCTGCAAAATCCCCCGAAACAAGATTATGGTGGTGATGGGGCTTCTTTCGCGACGGAAACTAGCGCGTTTTCCTGGCTGTTCCACCATAAACCCGGTTGATTTCTATCATTGACATGCCTTGTGCTCTTTTATCTTCACCCAGGCTGTTTAATCCTCCAACTTGCTTCATATTTGCCTCCCGTTCTAAATCGTCGACCCCCTCTCCGCTCTTCGCCCCCGCTCACTGATAGACAACGCTGGCCTCGACTACGGTTCACTTCCACCTCCCTTTCAGACGCGATGCCTCAGTTGCCATGGCAACGGCTGGAGCGCAGACAGCTCTGGGTACCGGGAGCGGTGCTACTACTGCCAGGCCTCGGCCTACGGGGACGGAAAACAGGACTGCCTCAAGTGTAACGCCAAGGGTCGGGTGGCGTGTCCGCCCTGTGACAGCTACGGCCAAGTGCGGTGCTACATCCGGCTCACCATCTCCTGGTCAGTGCTCACCATCTCTTAGTCAGTGCTCAGCGTCTCCTGGTCAGTGCTCACCATCTTCTGGTCAGTACTCACCATATCTTCGTCAGTGCTCACCATCTCTTGGTCAGTGCTCACCATCTCTTGGTCGGTGCTCACCATCTTTGGTCAATGCTGGCCGGCCCGGCTGACTCGGAGCAGCGGGTGCTGCGGCGAGATCGTCGTTGCATTCGAACCTGGTAACGTTGTCAATGCACTGTTGAAGGGCATTGGCCAGATCATTCGTCGCACGGAATTTGCCACTTCTTGATCTGCATCGTGAGTTTAGTGACGGATGTGGCAGGTGAACGATGATGCTGCTTCCTGCTGTGTGCATCCTTGTGAGATGTTTGCATGTCGTATGACATCTTGCCGTTCATTCTGTGGTTTGGAGGTTCATCCATCTGTTTGAAGTAAGCATTCATTTGGCTAGGTACGGTAATTCATTGCCCGTCTTCAGGCATGACAAATGGGATATATTAATTGCCTGTTTAGATCACCTGCTGCCTTTGTTCTGGGGCTTGGCTGGCAAACTCCTCACGCAGCTACATGCCCCATTGCGAACATCGATGCACCTTTCCGTAACAGATGGACCGAACCACCCTCTCACATCGGCCACACGCCAACCGGAAACCTCCGCGAGCACCGAGCCACCCAGGTTTTGACCCGTTGCGTCGCTCCCCGACACCGCCATTAACACTACTACTGTAATCCAACTAAATCCTTCCTACTTAACTGCACACACCTATCACTTTAACGCTGTCGCGCTGCCGTTGCGCCCTCACACGAGTAGTACACCCATCAACCTCTGCACCCCACCTCGCAACAGCCCTCCACGGCCGCACGGCGCCATCAACCCGCTGCTCTGCCGCCGCCCTCCAGGAAGGTGAACACATCAGAGCACATCGTGCAGCGCAGCTCACTGCCGGAGGAGCTGATACGCGAGGTCAGCGGCCAGGTGGCCGTAGAGGAGGAGGCGCCGGCGGTGGCGCCACTGTCGCACTACCCGGACGCCGCCATCAACATGGCCTCCGCCCAGCTGATGCTGGAGCATGCCGACAAGTTCAGCGAACAGCGGGTGCTGGCGCAGGTTAGTTCAGCGACCAGCGGGCGCTGGCGCAGATTAGTTCAGCGATCAGCGGGCGGCGAGCGGGCGCTGGCGCAAGTTAGTTCAGCGACCAGCGGGTGCTGGCGCAGGTAAGTGCAGCGACCAGCGGGTGCTGGCGCAGGTCAGCTCAGCGACCAGCGGGTGCTGGCGCAGGTCAGTTCAGCGACCAGCGGGTGCTGGCGCAGGTTAGTGCAGCGACCAGCGGGCGCTGGTGCAGGTTAGTTCAGCAACCAGCGGGTGCTGGCGCATGTCAGTTCAGCGACCAGTGGGTGCTGGTGCAGGTTAGTGGGACGTGCACTGTGTCTGGTATAAGAGTGGATACGCTTGATGATGCTGGGCGCGTGAAGAAGGTTGATGAGTGCTTTGTGTAAGAAGGCTGTAAGCAACATCAAGCATTTCAGTTCAGTCTGCTGCAATTGTTGTAGGATTTCCAAAACTAAGGGGGAATATCTCACCGGTCAGTAGAAGCGAATTATGACACCTCTGAAATGTGTCTGTGTGTGTGCTTGCGTGCGTGAGTGTGCATAGGCGAGGATTTGCGACCCAAGCACGCGCACGCATAGATGAAGCGCTCCTCAAATAGTAGCGTGTTATGTGCGGCTTTTACTTTGCTTCCTTCCCTCCAACAGCGGGATGGAAAACACTTAGCTTCCGATTTGAAATAGCCCCGACACCAGCCGGTGTGCCTCTGACTCATCTTGCTGGCTGCAGCGTCACCAGGTGCGCGTGGTGCCGGTGGCCGAGGTATGCTACTCGCACAAGTCCCGCTCAGGCCGCTTCTGGGTCTACGGCTACGAGAACCGCGTGTACGCGCCCGACTACCCCGACAAGTACTGCTGGGGCTGCTGCTCCATCCTGTGACGTCACGCGAGCCCCATCGACCCCGTGACGTCACCGGCACTATTCCGCGACCCGGAGGTCGCTCATTGACTGGGACTGGAGCTGGGCGCGGTGCGCTGGCGTGAACACCTTGTGTTAGCCGCTGCACCGGCTAGGGTCCGGCAAGACCCTGCCGAAGAACCCACAGCTTACCGGCACTATTCGACGATAGCCCCTGTGACGTCATCACAGTAGCTGCGGAGCAGACGTCTCCCAGAAGAACATTTGAACGTGTCATGTGGTGCTTGATCCTGGGTCGGTGTGCATTCATCTCGCACTGACGCTTGTGTTGTCGAGGCGAGGGGCCTTTACTGCTGCCTTTCAGTGTCGACTGTCCATGCTTGGTGAGCCTAGTTTGTCGTACTAAACAGTATTATTCGGGTGCGGTAACTTTTTGCACTCTGCGTCACCTTTGCGTCTAGGTAAAGACAATCTCAGCGTGGGAAACGCTCATTGATGGCGTTTTCTGGATAATTACTTCATTCATACCTAGTTTGTGCTTATCCATCCACTTTGATCTGTGTCTGTTCATACCCTTGTTGAGTCAGCTTGTGACCTGGCGTATTTGTGAAGGGGCTCAATAGGCACAACGCACCGAGCATTTCATACCTCTTGTCAAATGTACTGTTGTGTCTGTCTTTCTCACCACTACCGTCAGACAAAAGCTTCTTGTTACGTTATGATATCCGTCACGATGCAAGTTCGCTTTAGCTCGGCATCGCACTCATTTAGCATATCGGCACTATGAGCGAATTCAGTTGTTACAGCTACTTACAGGACTTCTTAGACATCTGTCCCGAAGTAATATCTACCTGCACCGCTTAGCATTCGTCGGTGTTTGTGCGCTAACTTTCCCTCCATCACTGAGCCGTTTCCCACCGTTTATCCAACTCAGCAGAGCTTTATTCGGCGTCGGTTCTTGCATCTGCACCGTTACCTCATTCGTTAACTCTACCTCTATGTGATATTATTTATATGTTCAAACATGAAAGTGCCTGCACGTTCCGACGATCTGCCTTCAAAGCCGCCGCCACACTGTCGGCGCAAGACCGATGTTCTCACGTGAGTCATCCAGGCTTGTGTTGGCCTCCGGCTGAGTGTCTCTTCCCCGGGGATTGAGCAAATTACTTTGAGCCGCAGCTGATTCCGCTCCTTCAAAAATGTCAGCTGTAGTTGAGTCATCGGCGTTGGCTGGAATGGATGGCGAATCCATTCAAGTATAAACATAAATGGCAACGAATATTCGTAGTTTGACATGCTTTTATTTGCAACAAATGAAGCGCTACGTCGCCTTCGCTGCGCAATCGCTCCCTTATCATGCAAATATGTGTTTTATGCATGCTTCTACGACGTTCATGAAACGCCTTGCCTTCGCTCGCGGTCACCAAAACCGGAGCCAGCTCAACAGTTCATCGTTCTGCTCGGAGGAGGAGTCAAAATCAGCCGCATGCATGGAGTCGGAGTCAGACTCGATTCCGCTGCAGAGAAATCAAGCACAAGCCTGGATTATTGTCTGATACCGGTACAAACTATTGGCACAATACATTCTCAGCACAGACAGCGTATGAGGCTAGTGTGTAGATAACAAATCGTCTTCTTCCACCGGCTGGTTTGCAGACGCCGGCTCCTGGGTAGCAGTACGATCCAGAGAGACACTGTAATGACTTCCGACCCTTTTCTGCAAGCCCTACCATTCTATGGACCTGTCCGACGCTAGAAAGTCATCAGATGGCAATGCAGCGACGTTGCGCCACTATAGCGCGTCATAGGGGAATCTGCTGCTGTCATATGTAATCAGTGAAGCGACGTAGCTGGCTGTCGCCAGCGGGCATATCACCACTCAGTTGCAGTTTAATGAAAGGACTGTGGGGGAAACAATAGTCCTGAAACATGTCTGTCAAACGTTTGCATTTGAGTCTTATGAAATTATGGTTTTTCTCCATTTCTGACATCAGCAGCTTACGCATATTCAACCATTCTTTGCATTTTGCAAGGTGGCATTTTTTCGCAGTTGTCCGCATTTTGGAAGCCATCACATATCACTGCGATTGGAAAACAGGGTGCTCGTGGAAGACATCTTTTAGACAAGGCCCCACGTATGAAAATTAGCTTCAACTTTTTATTTCATCACTTGGCCTGCGACCCCTAAATAACTAATTTTTTGACGCGTGGTGGACTCATGTGGGTCTCGTTTTGGCACTCGGCTCTTATTTACTGCACCAACAGCAGGGCGTGACGTAGCTCACGGGGCGCGCGTCAAGATGCTATCTGGAGCGACTTGTGCAGTCGGACACAAATCGTCTTTGAACGCAGGTCCAGGGTATGACGATGGATGAACATTCAGAGTCCATAGTTTGAGGGTAGACTAATGACGGCTACACAGGTGAGTTAAGCCACTCCCCTAAGGTTTATATGGTGCTTTTGCAGTATGGCAAACTGCGTTTTGTCACGCGGCACGTTGAGTTTCGATACGTTGCGATAAACAACCATGCGGTCTTTCTTACTTCTGCAATCCCCAAGGCGGATGTTTTGTCTGTCAAAACATGTCTGATGTCTGTCACCAACCCTCCAAAAACTGCTCCCCAAATCGATATTCATGGCTGTTCTAGATCGCTGCTAGCCACTGGAAACGAAGAAAAGTGATCATTCGGACGCAGCCATGGCATGATTTTTATACAATGATATCACGGTGTCGGAGTTGGGAGGAATAACTATCCGATAAAGACTAAACAGGGTTATTGGTCAATTGCATCAGAAGCACTGGGCCAAAGACAAACCTTTTAAGATAACCTAACTTGCCGCAATGTATGCACTTCGTAAGTCAGTTCATAGCATAATAACAAGATGATGTGTTCCAATGACAAAAACGAATTGGGAACGTCGACCTGGCCCAAAAGTACCAACTGCTTTAACAGGTGTAAATGCCTTCAAAATGTTATGGCAAAGAAGATCTGTCACTCATGGGCTCCTGAGGATGCCAAGTTTCCAATGGTCCAGCAGCACATCTCCAGGGTGCTCAAGTCAAGGCCCCACTCGGGTATCGAAGTCGTGAGTCTGCCTGCCATGGCGAATCTGGTGCCATCGGAGCTCAGGACCAAGGCTGAAAACGGCTAGAAGCTGGAAATTAAGGATTAGTTTTCTGGAGTGTAAAGAGAAAAAGAACATCGCGATGCACGTTGAGAGATACTTTCCTTTGATTGTCGAGAAACAAACACCAAAAAGGCTCACTACACCAGACACAAAAGAGCTAATCTGGAAGTATGTTACCAGCGGAGGACGTTTCCTAAAGGGGATGTTCAACATTTGAATATATTGAGTCAAATCTCAGATATGATGAAATCAACTCTTTTGTAACTATTGGTATGCTTTGGAGTGCAACCACCTGTTCTAAACAGTACAAGTCCACGTTTTAGTAGATCAGCTTCTCAGTAAGTCATGGCTTGATTGCGTCATGGAGCGTTTGTAAGATAATGGGGTCGCTGCCAAATAGTCATTTTAGAATTATCACTGTAGCGGACGGGTGACTCATTTATAGTACTTTAAACTGCCAAGAGGGGACTCGTGTGTTTGAGAAACCCTAATATCGCTATATGCGCCTGTTTTGACCCCTTTGTCGTGATGTTTTTGTGTATTTGTCCCTGATTCTGTATTATTAACTTGCAGTCACATACTCGGTTATGGCGCGTAGCAAATTCTCAACAAATTCCCAGTCCTGTATTATACAGCACAAGACATAATTTGTGCTCGCAACTTACACTGAACACATCAAAATCGTCGGAGGCCAACTGATGACCGCTGATACCACGAATCGTGCTCACGTACGCCAGACCCGAACAATTCGATAATTATATTTGATCTTGGCCTTGAGCACTAAATCATCCATACAGTGGCGGTATTTGTGTGACGTGTGTATGGCGTCATAAATGTCTCGTGACCCTAAAATAGCTTGCACGAAAAAATCTGCACAAGTTCGCAGGCGTCAAGCTCGGAAACAAGGGGGGGGGGGGGGGTTGTGCCTTAAAAAGTGCATGACTTTGATCTGCACTGAATAATCTTCGAAATGATGATCTTAGTTCAAAAATTCATACAAATGTGGAGCAATCCCTTTAAGGTCATCGCCTGGTGGCCATGTCGCGGTCGAGAGTAAATAAAAACTTCGTGGCCTAAAGGAGCGCTGTGCATAATGAAACCTACGAGAAAGAACGCCTCCTGCATCCAGATGTGTAAAGTCGAGCCGTCACACCAAGAAGACTTTGTTATGCTGGCTAGGCCTGACAATTACACATTACGAGAACCCCGTCCTGGTGGAGCCGTGGATGCTCGACATACAGGTAATCACACTTGGGGATAACCCACCTGTGCAATCCCACATTTCCCTCGCAATGAGCCCTGCTGGCAGCGCCTGAAGGCCATTGTATGAGGAAAGCTGTGAAGCTCAGCATGGACGCCAACTTTGGGCAGTAATCACCAAGAAGTTGCGGGAAGTTCTCCCGGAGGAGTGCCGGGGCTGATGGATCACACGGTGACCGACGCTCGCCGCATGGTCGATGAGGTCACCTGCTTCGTCTATGACCCTTGAACGGTAGAGACTGGGCTTTGTTAAACTGCGTTTTTATTTGTATATCAGTTAAAGGGGGAAATCAAAGCCCTTCGATTTGCCAGATTGTAGCTTTGGGCCATCAGTGTGCACAATTGTTTGTAAACATGCTTCCAGAAAAGTGTATTTGCGGCATTTAAAAACATGAAAGTGGGGCTGTTCCGAGTTGTCGGTCCCACGTCCGTATGACTGCAATATCAGTGACCAAAAACCAGTGAGCGGAATCACCTGACCTCATCCAGACTGACTTCGGCTGTTCCAACTATTGCTAAAGTCATCTAACACCTTCACCAAGGGCCCAATTCGTACATCAACGCCCACCCTTATCTTCGCGCCCAAAAAGGCATCGGAATAATCCGCCTGACTACTATCATTATAACAGCCGTTGTCGGGCACTTGTCGCGAAGGACAAGAAGTAGCCTTGCTGCTGCTCATGGCTTTGCCAAAGCGTTTTCATTTTGTTCATCACGAACTCCTCATTCCGAAACATCACGAACTCCTCACCCCGAAACATCACGAACTCCTCCCCCGAAACATCACGACTCCTCACCCCGAAACATCACGAACTCCTGACTCCTTTACGACACTGACCAGTCAGGAGCAGAACCACACACGCAATACTATTCAAGTCCGACATGATTCCATGTCCTTTTATGCGGCGAAAACAAAACGAGCCGATGTGTTTAAAAGTTCATGAGGTCTGGACCCCACAACGATCCGCAACTGCACGTTGCTCCCATGTATACAGCATAGCTCGGGAGCTATTTATGGACGCGCATGCAGGAAGTTCAAGTCTGACTTAGTCCGGGCATGCTCTCCCGTCCCATACAGTCTGACTGACGAAGTTAGAGGTTTCAGGGCACGGAGGTTATCGCTGAGTCTGCTTCTTCTCCCATGTTTGAGCGGTCTAGCAATATGCACAGGCGATGTGGTTTAGTCTAATATGAGGATGAAACCCAAATCACTGTCATCTGGAAAACTTACACTCCCGCAGCTCCTTACAACCATGGGCGATACGAGGGACGTCAGAGAATTTGGCGTGATATTCAGATATTCGCATGTTTCAAACAATCGACAAACTCCCGACTATGTCCATATCGCTGAACCTTGCGTGTGATGGGCAAATGGGACATGGTCACTCGCTGGTCGTCGTACAACTGCGCATCTAATGCTTGGTTAGTTATCGGATACCAAACATTTGTGTCGTAGGGAGATATGCACCAGTTACGTCTCCTTGAAAATGGTTCGTTCCAAATCACAATACCCTGATAAGCATCTTATTGGCAGAATTAAGGCGTGATGAAAAAATGTCGATGACTTTTCATATCAACCGATCAAAGTCACTTCCAAGCGCTGACCTTTGCAATTTCCTTAAAACTGTAGTGCAGGGAACGACTGAGGCCTGTTCATATGCCAATAAAATCATACAGCAGCACGTCTAAATGCAGTTATCGGTTACCGATGGGCAAAACGGGATCAGGGGACCTCAAGTCGCAACGCCCCCGCTCTCTCTCATTTCAATGTGCATTCTGTTACGAATAATATCCTCCTGAGCCCCGGCCTTATAGATAGCAGCGTTTATAGTGCCGCACGGCGGCGAAAAAAGGTTTGGGGCCTCAGTGGCCCGCTTTGAACGATCTGCACACCAAACACATACAGTTAGGTAATCTATAGAGCAGCCAGTTAAGGTCAATACAAACATGATTTGCAGAAACCCGACGAATGAGTACACCCGCCGGTAACTATCCACCTTCGTGAGTATGTGAACGAACGACATGCGTTTCTGAAGCTAGTTGGCACATTTTCATGCTCCGGTTATAATCATCTACCCACACAGGCACAACATACCAATCTCTACTATATTTATAATCGCCAAGACAGGGTGCAACATGAGGGGACGTAATGGCCTAGTAGTTAGTGCATCGGTCTACCACGTGGGCAGCCCGGGTGCGGGTCCCGGT